AAAAAAACACTGTATGATTAAATAGTGAATCAAGGGAACAAATGAATAAAACTGTTGGTATAAAACAGTTACTTGAGTTTGGCTGGTGATTGAACTGATCAGTCAAACTACTGAAATAAAGATATACTGGAATGGCAAAAGACAGCACCAAATATGTAACAATGTCCATCCATCCTTTATCTTTACCCACTTCTTCCTTTTCGTGTCACGGGGGTCACTGGTGCCCATATCCAGCAGTCACTGTGCATGAGGCAGGGGACACCTGGACAGGTCTCCAGTCCATCACAGGGACACATAGAGACAAACAAGTCAAACAACCATTCACTCTCTCTCTCACCTAGAGACAATTCAGAGTTACCAATCAGCCTAACATGCATGTTTTGGTCTATGGGAGGAAACTGAAGTACCTGGAGAAAACCCACACAGTATGGAGAGAACATGCAAACTTCACCCAGAAAGGCCCTAGTTGGAATTTGATCCGTCGACCTCCTTTCTGAGAGGCTAACAATAAAGTCTTAATGTAGAGTCTTAGTCCCCATTTACACGGACACGAAGAGGACATAGTTTTTTTTATGTTGATTTGAGGAAAAAATCTGTGTTGACATGGCCAGATTTGCTGTTTACATTTACCCGCAGGATCCCCCCCACCCAAATCCGCTGTAGTTGCCATGCCAGGTCATTAGTTGGCAATGCGAATTTTAATAATAATAATAATAATAATAATACATTTTATTTGTATAGCGTTTTTCTAAATACTCAAAGATGCTTTACATGAGTAAAAAATAAAATAAAATCAACAATGCATAACACATAAAAACACAGTAAAACATTTTAAAAGGGCAAATTTAAACATTAAAAGCAATTTTAAGCAGGTGGGTTTTGAGTTCTTTCTTGAATCTGGAGAGATGGGAGCAGGCACGAAGCTGTTGGGGCTGTGAGTTCCAGAGGGTGGGGACAGCGATGGAGAAGGCTCTGTCTCCCCAGGTTCAGAGCTTGGTCCTACAGGGGAGAGACAGAAGGTTGGCATCGGAGGAGCGAAGGGAACGAGAAGGAGTGTAGTGATGGAGTAGGTGGTCAGGTATGGAGGGGCAGATTATGGAGGGCTTTGAATTTGAATGTGATGAGGAGGTTCTTGAAATGGATGTGCTGAGTGACAGGGAGCCAATGGAGTTTCTGCAGGACAGGAGTGATATGTTCACTGGAGCGAGTGTGGGTGAGAAGCAGAATTTTGAATATATTGCAGTTTGTTGAGAGTTCTGGATGGTGTACTGTATAAAATGCTATTGCAATAGTTGATTCTGGATGTGACAAAGGCATGGATTAGGATTTTCGCTGTGGAGAACTTGAGTGATGGGCGGAGTCGTGCTATGTTTTTGAAATGGAAGAATGCAGTCCGAGTTATCTGTTTGACGTGTGATTCGAATGAAAGAGTGGAGTCGAGAAGAATACCAAGATTACAAATGAGTGGGGATGGAGTGAGAGTGATGTTGTCAAAGTTGAGGCAGAAGTTTTGAGTGGACTTGGTAACACTGATTGGACCAATGACGGGTATGTCAGTTTTGTCAGTATTTAATTTGAGAAAATTGTGCTTCATCCAGATTTTGATGACATTTAAGCAATGGGTGAGGGTGGAGTGGATGCTGGGGTTTATGGATGTAGTAGAAATGTAAATCTGTATGTCTTCAGCATAGCAGTGAAAATGGAGGCCATGACGACGGATGATATTACCAAGGGGGAGGATGTAAAGGATGAAAAGGAGAGGATCAAGCACTGAAACTTGGGGGACACCCTGGGAGAGAGGGGTTTTGGAAGAAGAGCAGCAGTTGATGTGAATAAACTGTTGCCTGTCTGTGAGGTAGGACTGAAACCAGGACAGTGATGTTGAAGTTGGACTTGAGATGGGACAGGAGGATGGAATGACTGACGTGTCAAAAGTTGCAGTGAGGTCCAGGAGGATGAGGACACTGAGCTGGCCAGAATCAGAGGAAAGGAAGAGATTGTTGGTAACTTTGAGAAGAGCTGTTTCGTTGCTGTGTTTTGGACGGAAACCTGACTGGAATGATTCAAACAAGCTATTGGATTTGAGGTGGGTCTGAAATTGATCAGCTATGACTCGCTCTAAAATTTTAGACAGAAAAGGAAGATTGGATATATCCTGATGCATGCTCAATAATCCAGGTAGAAAAATCTAAAAAAGTTAAATCTGGTCCTCTGGACATTCAAAAAAACAAAACAAAGCAAAACAACAAAAAAATATAGAAACGTTTCGTCTCTCATCCGAGAGACTTCCTCAGTCTGAGGTGCTGTATTCAGCTCAGTCTCTTAAATAGCACCTTCTCAGAGTGGATCAACCAGTTTGCTGCTGACAACCAAAACCAGCTGATCACATGCTCAAGAAGGACCATCAGCCTAACAATGGATCATTAGCACCTGATGGCTGTTTACTATTCACAGAGGGCTGAGTGATACTAGCAATCACAGCATTGTAAGAGGGGGACAGTTGAACCTGGAGGCCTCCACCCCTGTTTAATGATGGACGGTTTCTTTTCACAAAGATGGCCTCCTTTACTCCTCTCTCAAACCATCGTTCCTCTCTGTCCAGGATGTGAACATCTTCATCCCTGAAAGAGTGACCGCTGGCCTGGAGATGAGTGTAGACCTCAGAATCCTGGCCTGATGATGTTGATCTTCTGTGCTGCTCCATCCTTTTGGCCAGTGGCTGTTTAGTTTCCCTGATGTAAGACTGATCACCCTCCTGACACTGAACAGTGCAGTGAATGTGGGGACAGCTTTGCTGTAGCTTCACTACTAATTAATTATTCTTAAAGGTAGTTCAAGCACAAAGAATATTAATTATTTAAATACAACGGATTCTTTCTTTTTCGAGTTAAATTAATGCCATGTGACCGAGATAACTGAGGATTGTTTAATCAGTGACATGAGACGCCATTTTATCTTTGATCCATCAGAATAAATGCGGTCATTTATTTAACAGAATCAAAATTTAACATCAAAACATGTGCACATTGATTTGCTGATTTGTTTCTGATTTATAAAAACTTGGCACGCTTTACTAACAAGACAACAGAACATTACTGATTGAGGCATCTAGATTACTGGCAAAATAGAAAAGTTTAAGGGAAGGAATGGAGAAGTTTAAAAGTAAGATGGATGAGGGAAGATGTATGTTGTTGACCAGAATTAGCACGCTTCTTTCAACACCAGCTCAAACCCTCGGTCCACTTAGTGCGTGACAACTCGTGACGTCTCTTTACCTTTGCAGATGATGGATCAGCTCCAGTATAGATGTCCCTATGCACGCTAGCTATACAGCGTCTCCAGTCAGGGTGGCTGGTTATCGTCAGAAGTCGTGTGGCTTATTCCGTTCAACAGAACAAGCTTCCTTCGAAGTTGTAGGGCGTTATGCCCGGGTGATCCAAAAAAGTTTAATCTGGTCCTCTGGACATTCAAAAAACAAGAAAACAAAAAAACAAAAAACAAAGCAAAAAAAATGTAGAAACGTTTTGTCTCTCATCCAAGAGACTTCCTCAGTCTGAGGTGCTGTATTCAGCTCAGTCTCTTAGGCTGATGGTCCTTCTTGACCATGTGAGCAGCTGGTTTTGGTTGTCAGCAGCAAACTGGTTGATCCACTCTGAGAAGGCACTATTTAAGAGACTGAGCTGAATACACCACCTCAGACTGAGGAAGTCTCTTGGATGAGAGACGAAACGTTTCTACATTTCTTTTGCTTTGTTTTTTGTTTTTTTGTTTTCTTGTTTTTTGAATGTCCAGAGGACCAGATTGAACGTTTTTGGATTTTTCTACCTGGATTATTGAGCATGTATCAGGATACCCCCGGGTGAGTTCACAGCAAGGCGCTGTGACTCCAGCTGGGATGGATGGACCCTCGTCTCACAGTCAAATCCATCAGCTATTGATTAAATCTGAAAGTTCCTTAGGAACTCTCAGGAAGTCTCCATAGTCCCAAGAAAGACTCAGGAAAACTGAGTAAGACTCCAGGAAGACTGAAGAAGACTGAGTCCGAAGTTCTACTCAGAAGTGGAAGACTCCGGTGAAAGACTGAATAGTTCCAGGAAGTGTTGACTTTTAAACAGTACTCACTTCCGGTCACTTGGTACTTCCTGATTGGTTGAAACAACCAACAGGGGCGGTGTTTCAGTGATGTCAGAGGATTATTAAAAATCAAGAGGGGATGCAGGAATGTTTAGGAACAGGTAGTACAGACGGAGAAATGTTTATAAGAGGTGAGAGGAAGCAGGTGCCAGTTGCTTCTTATTTACCGTCTGCTAGGTTTAAAAACAAGACACTTTGTTCTAATAACTTGCTTTCTGACTTTTGACCGACATCACTACTCCTCATTCAGACAGAAGATCAAAATGCACAATTACTTTGTAAATAGACATTTAAAATGATTTCTAAGTCTAATGAGGTTTAAAAATCATTAATACTGTTTCACAGTTGATTTTAAATTAGTGGTTCACTTCAACATTTAGAAATGGTATGAACTAAACACACTTTGATTATCAAGATATTCTAAAATAGTAATGATAATGTAAAAAAGAAGAGTGTTCTTTCAATTGATTAATTCAGGATACAATTAAATAGTCTCTTGATGAGCTAATTTGTATTTCTGGACTCAAATCAATGAAATAAGAGTTCCTGTCCCATGAAGGTCTTCAGAGACAGATTGTTGTCGGAGGCCTAGTTCACTACAACAGCATACACAATATTACTCTGTTTGTGCCAGGGGACTGGATCTTTGGGATGAACCAGTCTTTGCCGTAATGTATTTTGGGGTTTAAAAGCCACTGGGACGTTATGTTTAGAAAATAAACGTCTCAGTTTCTCTGATACTCCCTCAACATATGGAATGACCACTGGTCTGGGTCTGGGTTCCTCCTTTTCACCTGTTGGCTGACTGGAGTCCTGTTTGGGTTTCTTCTCTGCTTTCAGGAAGGCCCAGTTAGGATATCCACATTGCTCTAGAGCCTATCTTGTGTAGGATTTCTCCTTCTGCCTGGCTCCTGAGTTTGTAGCCAGCTGCTGAATGAACGGGTGAGACAGACCAATTTTACTATTGAGGCCTTTAAGGCCAAAGAAGAGCACATTAAACAGAAACTAACAATGTGTCTAGATCAGACCACTCTTCAGCATGTGTTGGACTGTACAGATCAGGCACGCTTAGCACAGCATGCCAAGTCCAAGACTCGACAACAAAACAAGTTTAACTTACTAATAACTCATCAACACCATCACTATTCCAATAACAACACTTTCAGTGTAGGACAACACTCCAGTAGTCAATTACATGCCAGGGAGACAGAAAAGTGGGTGAAGAATTTATCTGACAGACAGCTCACCCAGCTGGAGACAGAGATTCTTGCCAGGGGAACTGAACTTTGCAGTTGCACCAAGTAGAATTCCTCTGGTTGAGATGATCACAGCCACAGAATCAGCCGTCCGCAACAACAAAATGAAAGAGGGTGAAGCAAAACAGCTCAGAATCAAAGTTTCATCCTGCCTCAGCAATGCCAAACCACCACCTTCCAACATCAGTAGAGAGGAGAGGGACGCACTCACCACTCTTAGCAAGGACAAAAACATCATCATTCTCCCAGCAGACAAAGGAAGGTGCACAGTGATTTTGAACCAGAAAGATTATCATGAGAAAGTTATGACACTCCTTAGTGACAACCACTTACGAACCTCTGAAAAGAGATCCAGGAAGTGGTTACAAGAAGAAGTTGATAGATTGCCTGAAAATTTTGGAGCAGGACAAGGCTATTGACCGTATTGTGTACCACAGACTGTACCCAGGGGAGGCCACACCTAGTCTGTATGGTTTACCTAAAATCCACAAACAAGTTGTACCTTTAAGACCTATTGTTAGCATGATTAACTCTGTCACTTACAATGTTTCCAAATATCTGGCGTCTGTACTCATCCCTTTAGTTGACAGCTCAGAACGCCACATACAGAACACCATGGACTTTGTGGATAAGGTGAGGGATGTCATCATGGAGACTGATGAAACAATGGTCTCTTTTGATGTCACTTCACTCTTTACGTGCATTCCTGTTGATGATGCAGTAGAGGTGGTCAGTTTAAGATTAAAATCAGACACCACTCTGAGCAGCAGGACCACGCTTTCCACAGAACAACTGTGTCAACTCTTGAAACTGTGCCTGCAGT